GTAGAAGCACCGGACTGCAGTCTTCACATTGATCCCACGCTGACAGCCCCCCCACAACCGTTAGTTTAGCTACAAACAGGTAGCACACAGAAACTTTTACAAACAGCGTGAATGTGCTTCTAGTGACTAACAGCTCCAGAACAGACACAGAGAGTCTGACGGCAGCTACTCATGGCTGGTTAGCTCTGTTAGCTCTGACTACCAGCTCGCTGTTTCTGCTACGCGACTGTAGTTAGTCTGTCAATCACTGTCATGGTCACGCCCCCTAAAGTCCCTGTCCTTTGCAGGGTGATGTATTTTTAAAATTAGCTGAGAGGGAGCAGGCTGAAGGGTGCAGTTACACTTTAAATGATGTCAGGTATGTAATTTATGTTCTTTCCTGAAACCTAGCCTTTCTGTGACAGTGTTAGCTTTATTTCAACGTGTAACCAGACGTTGCAAGAATGCTGCGAGAGAGCGACCCACAGCTGGCTGCAGATAAACGGGATTCCTAGGAGACTCTCTATTACTTTCCCTTTCTGTCCGTCTGATTGAGTGGACCACATAGTCATCCTTCCGCTTGTACCGTCTTTGAGTTTCCTCCATTGAACACACAAAGCACACTGTTGGCTTCCTTGGAAACAAAAGAGGGATTTCCTCCTCACCGACGGGCCCCTCAAACCTCCCACACACACACACCCATGAACTTACACAAACTCTAAATCCTCCATGCTGCGGTCGGGGGTCAGATACAGCAGGAGGCAGATTTGGAGGTTACGAGTGAACAGAGGTATGCAGTGACACCCTCTTTGCCTCTTCCCTCTTTCCCCCCAGCTCCTGCATAGCTTTGGGGGAGAGGATCCTCACAGTCTGGCCCTGAGCCAAAGACTGAACCCTCTCCGTAATCCCCTCCTGCTGATATACACAGCTGCCGGTGTGTGTGTGTGTGTGTGTGTGTGTGCAGTGCCAGCTTACAATGGCTGTCTCAGTGTCTAGCCACAGTTTGTGTGTGTTTTTTTTCATTATTGCCCTCCAGCAGACCGGTCATATCTCAATCTGCCTGACAGGGTTGAAGAGGCCCGTCAGGAATGTGATGGATTTTTTAGCTCCATCACAAAGTGCTGAACATTACGGCTCTGGCTCAGCCCTCCAGTAACAGAAGTCAACTGTGAACAGGTTTCGGGTCCGTAACCCCTTTTCCTGCTCGTAATGGTGGAAATGAAACTGGAGACTTGGGCGTATTCCTGACTCCAGATGTAGTAATTCTCTCTCTTACTTCTTCACCTTTTGCTGACTGGAGCACAAAGAATACTTTAAAGAACTACAACTCAAACTGTCTCTGGATATAAAAGTGAAAGTTATTCTACAGATTTATTGTTGTAACACTGTCAGACTTATAATGGGCAGTTTTTAAAGTGTAACTGCATCCTTTAGTTCTGCTAGCTCCCTCACTGTCAGCAAATGGAAAAAAGTAAAACAACTTTAGGGTGCGTGGCCTCGACAGCGGCCGCAGTGATTGACAGACTGACCACAGCAGTGGAGCATGAACAGCGAGCTGGTAGTCAGAGCTGGCTTTAGAAAGGGGCATAAACGGGTTTTTAAACACGTTTCGCAGCCACCATAGTTTCTCCTTCCTGTTTGCAGGGGGAGGGTGAAGCCAGGGGGTTGCAATCTGCAGTAACACCGCCAGATGCCACTAAAGGCACTGATGCTCCAAACTGACATTGAAGAACTAACGCAGACTGTCGTGTCGCCTGCGTCTGGGCCAAAGTGAGTGCAGATAACACTGGCAGAAAGTCAGAAACATCGAAAATCTGGTCAATTTTCAAAATAAAATACCGCTTACAGACTCCAATGTCACACTACATCCACAGTGTGACACCAGACAGTCAGAGGCAGCAGGAGAAGAAACATACAGTCTGTTGGAGCTTTTATAGTCACTAGAAG